TATTCAATATCTTTATGATAAAAATGCTTAGCCTTTAAAGCATTATGGAGCAAAAAATTATAACGATGGTTTTTGAAGTCAAAAAGATTATCTATTTGCCAAAAATTTTCACTTTTTTTAATTCCTTTTTTGGTCAACCAAACATCATGTTCTTTTTGCTCAATTTTATAATCTTTTTTTTCTATCAAGGAGTTGGCTAGTTTAGTGGCTAACTGATATTCAGCGGGACTAATGACATTTTCTCCTCGGGATCGTTGAGAAATAATGAGAGGATTAGTGCATTCATCAATAAAAAGCGAATCAATTTCATCCGCAATTGCATAATAGTAATCTTGTTTTTTTGCCTCCTCAATACTAGTTATTAAATTATTGCGTAAATAGTCAAACCCTAACTCGCTACCAGTAGTGTATATAACGGTACAATTATTATATAATTGTTTTTTCCCCTCTGTGGAAAGGTTGGTCAAGTTAACTCCTGAACTAATTTTGAAAAAGTCAAGGATCGGTTTGGCTAAGTTTCAATCCCGCTGGGCTAAATATTCATTGACTGTAATGACAAAAACGGTTCTTCCTAAGAGAGAATTGAGACAAATTGGCAAAAAGGCAGTGAGAGTTTTTCCCTCCCCAGTGTTCATTTGGGCAATATTACCATAATGCAAAACTATTCCTCCAAATATTTGGGTAGGGAAGAGCAAAAGTCCGGTTTTTCGATAAATGACTTCTCGCATCAAAGCAAAAACCGGAACTAAATATTTATTCAACTTCTTTTCAGGGTCTTTTTCCTTACTGCGGTGAATTTTTTTTCGATAAATTTCGAACTTATTTTGCAATTGTTCATCAGTTAACAACTTAGTTTTTTTTCTTAAACTGACTACCTTGTTTTTAAGCAAAGTAAATTTTTTTAAAGTGCTTTTTTTTCAGAAATAATAGAACATGCTATAATAATATTTTTGAATTAATACATAATACTAACAAAAAAGGCATTTTTCCCTAGTTAGGGAATTTAGTTTTTATCAATTGTTTTTTTGAAAATGAGTGAAAATCAACGCACTCCTACTTCTAACATGGAATTTTTTTACATCTATTGCACCACACAATTGTCAGTGTCAAATACTACTTTAATAATTTTGCTTTTGTCTCTCTCAATTAATTTTATTTTTCGCCATATAGGCATTTTCAATATCTTTTTCGTTCATTCCTAACTTTTGGGCTAATTCTTCAAAAATTATTAGCCACCGGTGGAAACTGGCTTTATTTTTTTCTTCGTTAATGCCGTCTAAAAAATGATTGCTCCATTTTTCAATATCTTTTCTAGTTTTTTCTTTCGCTTCTCTGAAATCTTTCAATTTTTTTTCATAGTCCTTGGTTTTGGGGTCTAATTTGCTTATGCTGTCTTCCCAACTTTTTTCGTGAGTGATAAGCATTTTTGGTTTTAATACTTTCCAAGGAACATTAATACTAAATGCCTCCGTTTCTGAAAAAAGAGCCAGCAATAGTTCATTATAATCAGTCTCGGGGGCTAATTTCTGAAACTTGTAATCCGCAAAATCAATTTGAAAACTGTTCGCCCAACTTAAATAGAAATGTAGACAATCAATTAATTCCTCTTTAACTTTTTCTCAATTAACCTCTTTGTGACTTTTTCAATGTTTAAAAGTTTTTAATTCGTTGGCCAATTCACCAATTTCCACCAACAGAGCAATTTTGGTGCGAATGAAACTTTTTTTACCATCAGCATCAGTTATTTTTTTTTTCTGGATAATAAATTCATCTAGTTTTTTTTGTTCAGTTTGTAATTTTTGGAGGGTTTGAGGGGTTAGCATAATTATGTTATATAATATTTTAATTGTTTTCTAAAATTCTTCTCACGATTCTTCAATCCTAAGGTACTTAATTTCCCAGTTTTTTCCTCCAAACAGTAACATGGCAATGCCGATTTTAATAATATTCTTCTCGACGAAGTTTTCTTTTGATTTCTTTTTCTCTAACTTCTTCCTTTATTTGGTATTTTCGCAAATGCTGAGCCAGAGCAATTTCTAACTTAGCCCACCCCCTATTAGTGATAAAAAGTTGAAGTGGAATAAGTACATAATTTTTGGCTTTCATCGTGCCAATTATTTTATTTATTTCCCTTCTTTTAAGAAGTAGTTTTCTTTTTCTCCTCGTGTCAATCTTCGCTAACTCACTAGCATGAGAATAAGCAGCAATGTGCATATTAATAATATACAATTCATTCTGTTGAGGCAAAACATAAGCCTCACCAATTGAAACCTGACGACTGCGAAGAGATTTTATTTCATTGCCAGTCAACGCCATTCCGACTACTAGTCTTTCAATTATTTTATAATCACGAAGATTTTTTTTGGCTTGGGCAATTATTCTGCTTCCCATTGTTTTGTGTATGTTTGAGCAGACATTAGTTAACAATCCAAAAAGGTCAATTTTCCTTTTTATTCAATAATTTTAGTGACGATTCCTTTGCCGACTGTTTTTCGACCTTCTCGAATAGAGAAAGTGCTATTAGTCTCAACTGCCACCGGCTGAATTAGTTCTACCGTTAAACTCAAATTATCCCCAGGGTTGACAGTCTTTTTCCCCTCAGGCAATTTAATAGTCCCAGATATATCAGCAGTATAGAAATAAAATTGTGGTTTATAACCTTCTTCAAATTCACTATGGCGACCACCTTCATCTTTGGTTAAAGCATAAACTTGGGCTTCGAACTTTTTGTGAACATTAATACTACCTGGTTTGGACACAGCCATTCCTCTTTCTACTTGTTCCCGTTTAATTCCCTGCAAAAGAAGAGCAGCATTTAAATTTGGCTTAACCACTTTCAATACTTTGTTATGAATTTCGGCACTAGTGACTTTAGTTTTAATTGTTGCTTTCCCCATTCCTAAGATTTCTACCTCATTGCCTGGGGTGAGAGTCCCTCTTTCTACTCTACCAGTTACCACGGTTCCTCGTCCAGTGATAGTAAAAACATCTTCAATATACATTAAGAAAGGTTTATCTTCATCACTTGGGGGAGTAGGGATAAATTCATCAATTTTAGCAGTTAATTCTTTAATTTGACTTTGATAGTAACCAAGTGGCTCGTTTGGTCCAGGATTTTCTTCTAAGGCCTTTTTGGCAGAACCAAAAACAATTGGTGAATTTTTATCAAATCCATACTTTTCCAATAAGTCTTTGATGTCTTCTTTTACCAATTCTAGCATTTCATTATCGGTCACCAAATCAGTTTTATTAGCAAAAATAACCAACTTATCCACTCCAACTTGTTTAGCAAGAAGAAGATGTTCTCTGGTTTGTTCTTGCTGACCTTGACTGGCGTCGATTACCAAAACTCCGCCATTAGCTTGAGCAGCACCAGTAATCATGTTTTTAATATAATCTGCATGCCCTGGACAATCAATTAAAGAATAATGTCTAGTGTCAGTTTCAAATTCATTGTGAGCAACACTAATAGTAATTCCCCGAGCTCTTTCTTCGGGTGCTTTATCAATCTCATCATATTTTCGAAACTTTGCTTTATTTTCTCTCGCTAGAACGTAAGTAATTGCCGAAGTCAAAGTAGTTTTACCATGATCGACATGTCCTAATGTAGCAACATTAACATGAGGCTTTAAATATTCATATGTTTTCTTTTCTGATTTCGCTTCTGCCATATCTATTATTTTATATTTATTATTTTAGAGGTTTTTTGTTAATCTTTACTGTTAGATAAACACGAAATTTCTTCCCCCTTAATTTTTGGGATAATGCTCAACGAGAGACTGTCAACAGCAAAAAACAAGATTGAACATTTGCAACTACTTTCATGAGAAAATCCTTCTTCCCAACCTAATTCTAATTCGAGATGGCTTTGTGGAAATGGCTAAAAAGTTAAAAAATTAATAAAGAGGAAGTAGTATGAAAAAAAGAGTAATAATTATTTTTTTACTAATTATAGTTGTTTTACTAGTGGGAGGGGGAATTGTGGCTTGAAAATGAACTAAAAAAGAGGAAAGGAAAAACTCCGATAACCTTCCAACCAATGGCTCTCCTTCCAAAATTCCTTTAAGCAAATTAAGTGATAAAGAATTAGAAAAATGCTTATTAGAGGATTTTGGTCGGCGATTGGAATTAGAAAAGTATTTTGTGTTTAATTTAGGGGAGTTAGAAACTATGAAAGCAAGACCGGCAAAAAATAGAAAGGGGGATGTTCAGACTAATTGACGCCTCGCTGCTTCCGGAACACTTTCTGACCACCTTACCAAACTAACTGCTGTTTATGAAAAGCAGTTTGAGAAAAAAGGTTATGAGGTAAAAGGCATCTCGCTTAGAAAAAATCTAATCTGTTTTTTAGGAAGTAATTTTGATAGTGCTGATGACCTTCATGATGAATATAATGGGGAGGAGTTAGACCAGAAAATTATCAGCAAAAACTGATTTATTATCTTTGAGAAAACTTCTGATAGACACGAAATTTGTTTCGACTGAAATGTAAATAGTGATGGAAAAACAATCTTGATGAGGAACAATGGCTTTCAAGTAAGGACAAAACACCCTACTACTACCATTTGCGATAGTAAAGAAAAAGCTTTAAAAATTATCAAAACCGACCCAGCTCTGATAAGTAAAGTTTAAATATGAAAATAATCGTTGGTCTTGGCAATCCGAGTAAAGAATATGAAAATAATCGGCATAATTTAGGTTTTTGAATTGTCGATAATTTGGCTCAAAAATTAAAGGTTGAATTAAATAGAAAAAAATTTAATGGTCTCTATTTTCAAACCAGTGAATACATTCTCTTAAAACCCCAAACTTATATGAATAATTCAGGTGAGTGTATAACGGCCTTTCTAAATTATTTTCGTATTCCTTTGGATAACTTGTTGGTAATTTATGATGATATTGCTTTACCATTAGGGAAATTTCGTTATCGTAGTCAAGGCTCAGATGGCGGACACAATGGAGTAAAAAATATTATTAATTTATTAAGAAGCAAGGATTTTAAAAGGCTAAGAGTTGGCATTGGCTATGACCGAAATTTTCTTATTAGAGATTGAGTTCTAAAAAACTTTTTGCTGTCAGAAAAAGAAGAAATAAAGAAAATTATGCCTAATTTAATTGATAGTTTATTAGAATGAATAAGAGAAAATAACTTTAAAAAAGTAATGAGTAGATTTAATAGTGGTAAAGAAAAACGTAAATTAGAATAATGGTTGTCAAGTGTTTTTTTTAAATTATTCAAGTTCTTAACAGTCTTTGATTGAAGAAGTGATTAAACCCCTTATTTTTTAACCTAGCGAGATGTTTTTTTCTTTCTCTTACTTCTGATAACTAAAAATGCCGTTAACCCCCCCCATTACTAATAAAACTATCCCACCAACCACTCAACTAGTTGGGAAATTATTATCTGACTTTGGTTTATGATTAGTAGCATTTTTATTATTATTTTCTTTAAACTTTTGCTCTAATTTTTTTAAGGTTTCTTTTTTCTTTTGTAATTCAGAACTATTTGCACCTTTGTTGTTTTTAATGTCAGTTATTTCGGATTTTAGTTTTTGGATTGCTTGTTTTAATTCCTGCTGAGTTAAGTTGTTTTCGTTTCCTTCATCCTTTTGATTTTCTTTTCCATTTTCGCCTTTAATGTATCTTTCTAACATTTCTCAAACCCCTTCTTCTTGATAATTAGGACATGGTCAACTTTTAGGTAATTTCTCCTTTTCGCTATCTTTTTCTTCTTCTACTTTCAGTCCCAACTCCCTATCATTCTCATCTCAAACTCTTTCCCATTCTTCTTTTCCCATTTTATCGGTTATCTGTCTAAAAATTTCAGAATGATTTATTTGGTTGTTTTCTCATTTCTCTCCAACTTTTTTGACATCTGGATTTTCTGAGAAAAAAACCTTTTCTTTC